ACACTGGTGGACAGGCACACTCGTTGACAGGCAGACTGGTAGACAGGCACACTGGTGGACAGACACACGGGTGGACTGGGACGCTGGTTGACAGGGACACTGGTTGACAGGGACACTGGTGGACAGGCACACTGGTGGACAGGGACATTGGTGTTCCATCAGTTCTCAGTTCACGGCAGGATTGAGCCTCGGTGGTTCCTGGATTGTTCCTGAACATCAGAACCAGTTTCCTTCCATCTGAGGGGGACAGATGGGTGTCGGTCAGTCCAACGAGTTCTGTCCAACAGAAACTCAATCATGATCACCAACAGGAAGTTTAAAGACCCTCTTGAACCTTCAGTCCCACTGATGAACAGGTTTAGCTGGGTGTATGTATATATTTGAACAGCTAAAACACACATGTTCCAACCTGGAAAATGGAAGATCCAAAAACTTTATTAAAAAACAACAATTTATTAATTTATCATTAGTTTTTTTATTGAATAAATTAATCTGTCATTCATAACGAGCCTCAGTCTAAAGAACATTTTTCCAGGACCAGACTCATTCATCTGAAGAGGTGCTTGAGAGTAAAAATATAATTAATGTTCTGAAACATTTTTGAATTGAGCAGATCCTTTCAGACACTTCAGGGGTTCTTCTCTCCTCCTGCAGCCTCGTCTGTTTTATAAAAACTAAACGAGGAGGTGATGCTTCGTTTTTCCTTTGTCTCCTGTTAATCCAGAGAGGATCTCTCTGTGGCTCCGTTTTATAATCCCACCGTCAAAAACAGAATTACCCGACCCCTAAAACACCCCGACCCGTCTGAGGATTACAAAACTAAACGCCAACAAAACACATTTAGATATGACTTGAGTGACGTTCAAGCAGAGAAAACAACAGTTCTACGGTCAGATTTAAAAGAATAGATTCTACTCCTGAGTGAACCGCTCATGAATTATTCCACTTTTTACATCATTAAAACACAGGAAGGACATTATCTTTTATTTCAAAGGTCTTTTCTCATGGTAATAACCTGTGAGTCACACAGGAACAGCTGAAACCTTCATCCTCCTCCTCCCTCGAGGGAACACGATGCTGCTGAAACCCAAAGTCAACGTTGGTTCTGTCTCGTTTCCCTGCAGAGAACCTGGACGCCATGATCGCCATGCAGACCAAGAACAAGCTGGGCAAGTCCCTCGGACTTCCTGAAGCCTCCGGACCTGAAGGTGAGCCTTTCGTCTGAACGTCAGAAACATTAACGGGTTTTCTGGACCCTGTCAGACATAAAAAAGCTTAAAAGATTCATCTCTGCTCCACATGGTGGGAAATAAAACATAAACATGAACAGTTTTAGTAAAAAGTCACAAAGATGCATTTGTTTGTGTTTCTGCTGGTCCTAAAAAAGCTCATCATGATGATCCTTTAAAAGCTGAAATAAAACGAGTGGACGAGCTTTTTTCTTTAAAACCTGTAGTTTAAAAACACTGAAGTATAAAATAACTCTAAAGGTTCTAACGCACGTCGTGTTCGTCTGTTGTGACGAGTGTGAACAGGAAGTATTGCTGTCAGTTAAAACTCCAGGAAATTTGCGCTCACCTGGACGTGTTGATGGTTGGAACCAAAAGTGCAAAAATAAAAGTTCATTTATTTTAAAACTAAACTAAAAGATCTAACAAGTTAGAGTCAGGTCGTCTGATTCTTCTGTTGAGACGTTTCATCTTTTATCTGAAAGACTCCTTCAGTCTGAGGAGCTGGACTACAAGAGTGACGAGGCAGCAAAACTGACAAACTGAGGAGCAGCACGAGGAGGCACAGAGAGACAGGGAGGCACAAGGAGGCACAAGGAGGCAAAGAGAGACAGGGAGGCACGAGGAGGCACAGAGACACAGGGAGGCACAAGGAGGCACAGAGAGGCACAAGGAGAGACAGGGAGGCACAAGGAGGCACAGAGAGACAGGGAGGCACGAGGAGGCGCAGGGAGGCACAAGGAAGCACAGAGAGAAAGGGAGGCACAAGGTGGCACAGGGAGGCACGAGAGGGCACAGAGAGACAGAAGCACGAGGAGGCACAGAGATACAGGGAGGCACGAGGAGACACAGAGATACAGGGAGGCACAAGGAGGCACAGGGCGATAGGGAGGCATGAGGAGGCACAGAGAGACAGGGAGGCACAAGGAGGCATGAGGGGGCGCAAGGAGGCACAGGGAGGCACAGAGAGACAGGGAGGCACAAGGAGGCACAGGGGGACCGGGAGGCACGAGGAGGCGCAGGGAGGCACAAGGAAGCACAGAGAGAAAGGGAGGCACAAGATGGCACAGGGAGGCACGAGAAGGCACAGAGAAACAGAGAAGCACATGGAGGCACAGAGAGAAAGGGAGGCACAAGGACGCACAGAGAGAAAGGGAGGCACGAGAAGGCACAGAGAGAAAGGGAGGCATGAGGAGGCACAGGGAGACAGGGAGGCATGAGGAGGCACAGGGAGACAGGGAGGCATGAGGAGGCACAGGGAGACAGGGAGGCACGAGGAGGCACAGGGAGGCACAGCGGGCACAATAAGACAAGGGAGGTGTGGGGGAGGCACAAGGAGGCACAGGGAATACTCGACCTGGCAGTCAGTCATAACGCTCACCTGAAGAAGGAGTGAGAACCAAAAGTCTTTCTCAACAGGGCTGATGGACAGAATGGAGACACCTGGGAAAAATAAGCACTGGGGACAGGTGAGAGTGGGCGGGGCAGGAGGTGAAGGAGGAACGCTGTTTGAATGAGGAGTGGCTCAGAGAGGAGCAGAAGACTAACAATCATGAATAACTGGTCAAAGTGAAAATCAAAGCAACAATAAACACAAAATAAACCAACCCAGGTCCTGGCAGGATGACTGAATGAACCTTCATGGATTCATCTGAACCTGCAGTGCTCCACATCTCCAATGTGCCCCGTGTTTTCATTTATTTTGCTTATTTTTCATTTTGTTTTCAGGGAAGTTGCTGGATGAGGACGATAACACCAAATCTGAGACGGCCAAGATGCAGAAGGAACAAATAAACCTGAGAGACTCGACCAAAGAGGAGCAGCCGTCCACCGAGACCAGTCAGTCCAGAACCTTCTGACACAAATAAACCACTAGTCAGTCCAGAACTTCAGGAATAATCGTTACTTTTATGTGATTATTAAATTTCCTTATAATCAATTAAGAGAGTTCTTCCTGTCATGGTTTTATGATTTATTTATTTTTTTAGCCACAAATCAAAAACAAGTTGAATTAATTCTCACCTCGTCATAAAATCTGTTTCATTCAACTGTAAAATATAAAAACTGAACAGAATTTGACTGACTTTGTTTTAACTAACCCTCGGGCTCTCTGGAGTCTGGGCCGATCAGAACCAAGCGCCTGCTCATCTGTGAATTAGGCCAGTCCAGTAACCCGTACTGGAAAGCCCATCCCAATTTTACACCGACAGCGATGAGTAAAAAGTACAACAAACATCGACACTTAGAGCTTTGATTTAACCAGCGACTCACTGAAACGGGCTCTACAGAAGTTCTGATGAATCGTTACAGACATTTAAATTTGGAGATGTTCAAATTTTTATTGTAAAAAAAAGAAAACTTTTTATTTAGACCCAAACACTAAACTCCTCAACTTAGTTGAGCTTTATATATTTCTTATTCTTTGTGTTTTTTTTTTACTGTTTTTAACTCTGTTAATGTGAGCTGATTAATATTTTCCCACAATCCATTGCGGTTTCCAGTAATATAAACATTTACAATCAAAAGTTGTTAAAGTACAAAATGCTGTGCGTACTTTCTAACCAGAAGAAATTATTTTCATTGAGTTTCCTGAGATAAAAAATAAAATCACGAGTCTTGCTTTAGGAATATTTTATGGTTTCAATAACTGAGTGAATCTTTAGACCAGCTGATGAAATTTGAGTTCTTCTGAGTTTTCATCATGTTTTAACGTTACTCCTCAACATTGTGTGCTTGAAGCTCCAGCTCAGCCTGGCAGGTCGGAGACGTATCTGGAGGCCATCAGGAAGAACATCGAGTGGCTGAAGAAACACAACAAGGATGAAGGGAAAGATGGTGAGACGTGTTTCATGTTCAACATTCGATATTACAGTCAGCCGGTCCCTCTGAGCTGGCTTTCCTCTTCAAACCCTCCCTTTTTCAGTCTTTATCAGGTCTGACGAGGCGCCTCTTTCATTTGCCTTTTAAAAGTGTGCGTTCACGCAGAAACAAACGCTTCGCTTCACGTCTCATGAATTTTCTGATGAGGCAACAGCTGCTCCCTGATTAAAGTTTCTTCTGGTCGTCTTTGTAAGAAGATACAGATACATCACTCTGATGAGCACTTCTTTAGCAAAAAAAAAAAAAAAAAAAACCCACAGACATGGCTGTGGCTGAGTGTTTAGAGCAGTCGTCCTCCAATGCAAGAGTTGGGGGTTCGAATCCACCAGCAGTCACATGCCGAAGTGTCCCTGGGCAAGACACTGAACCCGCATTGCCTCTGATGTGTGTCCCATCGGTGTATGAATGTGATCTAAAAGCTCAAATTAGTCTCGTTAGAATGGTTTGTTCAGTTAGCTTTGTAGATCTTGTAGAGTGCTGTATGAATGGGTAAATGAGGGCACAGATTGTAGTGTAAAGAGCTTTGAGTATCTTGATCAGATAGAAAGGTGCTATATAAGTACAGTCCATTTACCATTTACAAAAAAAAGGTAAAGTTTGTGTCTGATTTCTCCGAGCACATTTCTAACCAGGATGTCACTCCACTGCAAATGTTGGAGAGCAGTGGTGGCTAAAAATAAACCAGTTTTAGCTGTGTTCTGCTGAATTTCTCCTTGTGACATGTTGACACAAACATCCCGTCTCAGATGCTCTGGATGGGATGATGGTATTGATTTGGGGCAGCTGTGGCTGAGTGGTTAGAGCAGTCGTCCTCCAATAGGAGAGTTGGGGGTTTGATTCAGCAGTCACATGTTGAAATGTCCCTGGGCAAGACACTGAACCTCTCATTGCCTCCGATGTGTGTCCCATCGGTGTATGAATGTGATCAAGCTCTGATTATTCTCTGTATAGATAGTAGAGTGCTGTTTGAATGGGTAAATGAGGGCACTGATTGTGTTGTAAAGCACTTTGGGTATCATGATAAGATAGAAAGGTGCTATAGAAGTGCAGTTCATTTACCATTTGATGGTGTTTGGTTCCATACAGTATTTGCCAAGAACTCACTATTTGTTTGCACAAAATAAATGGTCTTGCAACAAAATTAAACTTAAAAAATATTTTAGTAGCTGTGAAAAGTTGTGTGACGGTGCGATGACAGTTCAGTTGGACCAAACTAATATGGCCTCGGAACAATCTGGCCCTTGTTTGTCCCGCGTCTCACATGAAGTCTCATAACTGGTCCCGATGGCATCACCACCTCCCCACACAGGTTTGGTTCATCCATCCTTCTTCTGTCGAATTTGAGAAGTTATTCAGACTAGATTGATATGGGTTTGAGTCTGGTGAAGTCTGGCTTGAGACCTGTTTGAGACTTATTTGAGACTGGTTTGAGTCTATTTCCAGATGCTCACAATAACTTGTTGACTAATTTTAAAATGTTTATTTTGCTAATTCCTTGAATATGCTCCAAACCCATGTATGAAAGTGCACGGCCCTGAGACTTGTATGAGGAGACTTCGAAGTCCCATCAATGTTTGTGGACATTTTGAAAACTTTTTGACACAGTGTTTGCAGTATGGTGAAGCATAGTGAGATCCTTCATCCATGTTCTTCCATCCATCATCTTCTGCTTGTTCTGAAATGGGGGCGTGGGGGCAGCAGCTTGAGCAGCAGCACAGCCACCTCTTCCAGCTCTTCTGGGAGGATACTAAACGGGAGAGCATCCTGTGCTCCAGAATCAATGTGTGGCATGAAAGCTGCACAGCTGCAGAAAGAAAAGCTTTACAGAGAGTGGTGAAGGCTGCACAGAAGCCTGTTGGAGTCATTCTCCCCACCATCACAGACATTTACACCTCCAGATACAGGAAGAGGGCCACCTGCATCATGAAGGACCCCACTCACCCAGCACACACACTTTTTGCCCCGCTCCCCTCAGGAAGGAGGTTGAGGAGCATTAAGTGTAGAACCACTAGACTGAGGAACAGCTTCTACCCTGAGGCTGTTAGACTCATGAATCTCTAACCAGAATAATCACTGTGAAAAATCACATCATGTTGCTGCTGATCTGTTTCATGTTGAGGTGTTCATGCGTGCTCATCTGCTCACACAGACTCATGCTCATGTTCGTGCTGCTGTTCGATATAATGTTTTTATGCTATTGGTGCTTAGTGTATTTTTAGTTGATGTTTTTCTTAGTTAATATCTTAGATCTTATTACTGTTTTTCTTTTACATTTTATTGTTGGATGTAACTGGGACCCTGTGTACAAATACCTCGGCGACATCAGCCATAGTTATGGAAGGACCAACCCCGAAGTCCCCAGACTCAGCTTCCTCTATGGAAGATGTGCCGGATGGATTGAGAAGGTCTGAGAAGTATTCCTTCCACCTCCTGACGACATCACTGGTTGAGGTCAACAGCACCCCACCTTCACTGAAAACAGTGTTAGTAAAGTGCTGCTTTCTCCTCCTCAGCCGTCTGATGGTTTGCCAGAATCTCATCTGAGCTGATCGAGAGTCTTTATCCAAGGGCTCACCAAACTCCTCCCACATCTGAGCTTTTGTCTCAGCAACAGCCAAGGCTGCAACTCATTTACCCCTCTAATACTCCTCACCTACCTCTGGAGTCCCACCAGCCAACAAAGCCTAATAGGACTCCTTCAGCTTGTTAATCTCCCTAACCCAGGGTGTGAACCACTGAGTTCGAGGATAGCCACCGCAAGAAGCACCGACAACCTTGCAGCCACAGCTCAAGGCATCCACTTCAACAACTGAGGCACCGAGCATGGCCCACTTTGACTCAATGTCCCCCGCCTCAGCTGGGATGTGGGTAGAGCTCTCCCAGAGGTGCGAGTTGAAGATTTTTCTGATAGATTCTTCTGCCCGGCGTTCCCAGCAAACCCTCACTCCACGTTTGGGTCTACTGCATTATCTTCCCCTGCCTTCTGATCCAACTCACTACCAGGTGGTGATCAGTTAACAGCTCAGTTCCTCTCTTCACCCGAGCATCCAAAACAAACGGTTGCAAATCAGATGACATGACACAAAGTCAATCATCGATCTACGACCTAGAGCGTCCTGGTGCCAAGTGCACTTATGGACACCCTTATGTTCGAACATGGTGCTTGTGATGGACAAACTATGACTAGCACAAAAGTCCAACAACAGAACACGGATTTCATGAGTGTCCACAGATTGATAGTTTGTTTTTAATCAGTTTCTTTTTGTATAACATTCCAAGCAGCATTTTACATAAGCTGTCCCAGAACTGTGGTAGCCATGCTATTCTGGTTTCACTGGGGGTGGGGGATGCAGTTGGTGTTAAATCGTTGCTCAGTAAGGCCTCATTATTACCAAGAGGAGCATGAATCGATGAGTTTTCATTCATTTATCACTCCCTCCACCAGGAAGGACATGAGTAGGACACTTTGTGGACATCAGTTCTTATTGGATTCAACCTGAAACAATGGGACCAGAGGTTAAAGACAGACAGATTACAGATTAAAACAAAGTTTGACCCAGATTTTGGTCTGAGCACAGAAGATGAATGAGAAGAGCAGAGGGGCAGGCCAGTGGGGGGTGTTGTGTTGGTAGGACACCTCATTAACATTCAGGAGTTTGGACTGGTTGTCAGGACAACGGGAGGCTTCTGCCCATCAGGGAAATGAGGCAGAAAATCTGTCCAAACGTCTCCTGACCCAACTGCCTTAATGACAGAAATAAAACATGAAACTCCCATTTGACTGAACGTCTCAGCCGAAAACAGAGAAGCTCAGGCTGTTTATTCTGTTTACTCTACCAGAAACATCCGTCAGGGTATAATCCGTGTGCGTGCGTGTGTGTGTACGCACGCAAACCTACACACATGAAAGATTAGCCAGAGCAGCAGATGGACGCAGAGGCAACATCCTGTTTTTGGCTCTTTGCTCTTTTAGGTCCTGACTGCGAGATCAGAGCCGACTCTGATCACTTCCTGTTACGACGTCACAAATTTTTCTTTGGTTTTATATGTGGGGTTTTGTTTTCTGGGTCCTAAGGGACCTGGGGCTGTCCCCTCGATTGTCCTGTCCGCTAGTTCTCCAAACTCACTCCCAGGCTGTCAGTTACAGTCTTTAAATTGTATTTTGAAAAAATGCTTATTGGAAAAAACAGCAGCGAGGTGAGATATATGAAAATCAACAAAAAAATAACAGCTGACTAAATGTTTCTGAGGTGTAATTTTATTTTAAAGTCTGGAAAACGTCCCTTTAGTTTAAATGGAGGGGCTGGGCTCTAAAACTGTACTGGATACAATCACTAGGGGCGCTCATCATGTGCAACTTCAGCTTCTTGTCTTCTCTACAGTTTTATTAACACCTCAATGCCCCCATAGGATGGTCCCAGAACAAGTATCAGGTCCAGACCCCCCATGTACAGGAAATAAACGGGACTTCACTCTGCTTTGGTCTCGGCATTACATCATCAAACAATCAGAAATAAATGAAAAGACCTTAACTATCGTTTAATGTTTTCCATTAATGTCTCTGCCTGTGTCTCCAGACTACGACTTGTCCAAGCTGAAGGACTTCATGGACCAGCAGGTCGACTCGTATATCGAGAAGGGAATCATCGCCAAAGACGAAGGCGACACCATCAAGAGAATCTACGGCAGCCTGTAACCGGATCGCTCGTCTTCAGTTTCAAACCAAGAACTGAATCTGACAAGAAGAGCTCCTACAAAACACGACTACCTAGAATTGCTTCAACTTATGGCAGATATATTCAACATCTCCCAAACGTTCCCAAAAATGTACCAAAGGATGGGATTTCATACTTATTGTTCTTCACTCATCTGCTTATATTTGCTCCATCATATTCATAAATATCTAATTTACGTCAAATCTCACATTACTTTAGCCTGACTTCAGTGGAAATGAATGTTATGGGAGTTTGTTGATGTGGCTTTCTAATTCTTTTAAACAAGTCATGCTGTATTAGTGATGCATAAGCTGTCCTTATTTCTTTCAGTGCAAATTTTTTTTTTATTATCATTTTAACATTTCATTGCTTTTTCATGTCTGTGCACCTTGTTGTTGTGATTTCATCTGGAGCCACCAGGGGGCGATGTCTGAATCTGTGTGTTTCTAAACTGTAGAGGAAAAAAGGATGATTTTACGTACGTTACGTACGACTATTAGAGCAACTCAGAAAATCTTAGTGCTTTTTACTTTAAGCCAAAAAAACAAACAAAAATGTAGATATTTTGTTAACAATAAATTCTAAATATTGACAGAAAGCTGCAGTGCTGTTGACAGAAAAGCCACATTTTAATGACATTAAATGTCAAATTCTTATTTAACTACAGAAGGTGGAGATTATCCTGAGTGGAAACATTTGTTTCCCTCAGTGGCTTCACGTTCGTCTTCGTCTTCAGACACGTTTTTCTCAACACTGGCAACATATTATTTTCTTTTTTATTTAATTTTTTTTTTCTCCCGAGTGACTGTAAGACCTGGATGTAATTTTAAATAGTAAATTTGTGTTTCTTTTTTTTCCTACAGTTCTAAAAGCAAATAAAGTTGCTTTTTCTTTTTTTGTAGCCTTTTCTTGTACCAAAAATAAATAAAAGCAGACATCCACATGTACAAAAACCAAACACCGTGTGGCTTAAATACAGATTTATTTCCCTCAGATACGACAAACAGTTAAAAGCACAAATAAAACAACTTTTACAGACGTCATAAATATTACATTCACACTCCAAAAATAGAACTCTGCCCAAAAATAAAACGATGAGAATAAAAATAAACTGAGGCCAACGAGACGTCACCGTCTAGCTGCGTCTCAGTCAGGAGGAACACTGATGAGGACACATGAAGACACTGTCCAACCGTCCTTTTGGACCTGCGAGCCCAGGTCCAAAACTCACCTCTGGTTCAGAGTCGGACAGTAAAACGGAATGATTCAAACCCATTAGAGCAACTTGAAGTCAATAAATAAAAGCAAACGTGACCTTTGTTCAACACGAGGGACACGGAGGAGGGGAGACAGAAACAGCTTGTGTTTGGGTGATTCCACGTCGGACCTTCAGGTAGACGCCTGCTTTAAAGCTCCTGGTACGACGTTTCAGGGGCCGTGGAGTCCTGCTGGCTGCTCCTGGAGAAACAAAAACAAAGTTTAAGATAGTTTAAGTCTGCCATTCTGTTTGTTTCTACTTCCTGTTCCTCTCAAACCCAGCCGGTCGAAGCAGATGACCGCTCGTCCTGAGCCTGGCTCTGATAAAGGTTTCTTCCTGTTAAGGAGTTTTTCCTTTCCACTGTCTCCTTTGTGCTTGCTCAGGATGAGAGACTGCGACGAAGTGAAGATTCAGCACAATGTGCTGGCTTCCTTAGATAGATGGCTTTTTTAATGTATGTGAATGATTTGTACAGTGCCCTGAGAACACTTCTGTTGTGGTTTGGAGTTCTAGAAATAAACTAAAGTGAATCAGGGATTAGCTTCTGATGTCGGTCATAGATAATGTCCCTCTGTCCAACTCTCCCCTGTCCAACACTACCGTCCAACGCTCTTCTGTCCGTCCCTCAAACAAATGTCCTGGAACGCCTCAGTTTATCTATTATAGTATATAACTGTCAAAATGTCACATTAAAAGAAACCATATGTGTTACCATAGAAACGCTGCTGATGATGATTAAATAATTTAATGAAATATTGAAATAAACAATAAAACACAAAAAGTTTTTAACGACAATCAATAATAAAATAATAATAAAAACGTACGAAACCAAAAGAACTGAAAGCTGCAGAGAAGTAAACAGAACTAGACGGTTCCAAAATATATTTTCAAAGCAGCCCAAACACTGCAGCACAGCAGTGGCAGTGTCATGGTTTGGGTTCCGTCTGGAGAACCGATAGCCATAAAAAGTAGAACACATGACTGTAGGTTATAACAGCTCAATCTGAAATAAATCTATATTTGGTTATGAATCTAATCACATGAGAAGTTATAATGCAGCAAGACAACCTATGTGGGTAAACCAGAGATGGCAACGTCAGACCCGAGGGCCAAAAGTAGCCCTTGGACCATCTCCATCCGGCTCCGAAAATTCTTAAATGAAATAAAAACTTTTTTCAGAAGTTGATTAAAAAACCTGGATTGTATTAATGAAACTTAAGGAAGTTTAAATTCAACATCTTGGACAAACATCAAAACTTTTAGTCGTGTTTCCAGAACTTGACTGAGCCCTAAAGACTCCAAACAGCAAGAATATACCAGTAACTTATGGCGTACGTAGGCTAATGTATTGTCACAAGAGCCAGTTTACAGACAGTGTTATAATCAGGCATGCTAACTATGCTACAACAACAAAAAGCCTGAAACGGTCTTCCAGATTATCTCCTAAAGAAAATCATTTTCAAATTCTCCAATAATATTTGACTCTATAGACATTTATGAATTGATAAAAGCTTCAGCGGTTGTTTTGTTTTTTGAGCCCCTTTTTTTTGATTGATCATGACCTGGAGGACTGAGAACCTTCACAGGCATAATTCTCAAAAAAAAAAAAAAAAAAAACCTTGGGTTGCTTTAATTATCTTGATTTAGTCCTTTGAAAAAAAATGTTGTAAACACACAACGATACTTTCAAAAAACTGGACCTTAATCTGATGAAATGTTGTTAAATGACCTGAAGAGAAGCCAGAAGTTCTTCAACAGATGTGCAGAATGGATCAAGCCTTCCTGGCATTAAAGCAGAGGGCCAAAATAACAACAATAATACAGTTAATTTGTTTGAATCGACTATTTGTCCGTGTGAGAGTGTGTGTGTGTGTGTGTGTGTGTGTGTGTGTACAAACAGCAGCATGAGCCTTTGTCTAAAACAAAGTACTGCTCGGATGATCTGTGTGGCTCTGACAGACGACTCGGGTCTTCCTGGCGCTAAGAGGAAGAAAAATAGCAGCAGCGCTCCTGCAGGAGAAACAATTTGTTCTAAAAATATCTGAAACCTTTTCAGGGAACCCAAAGAGGAAAAATGATGTCTGCAGAGTGACTCGGTCCTCCTGAAATGGACCATCCACCATGACTGAGCAGGAACGAGTGCGTTCAGTCCCAACACGCCTGCAACAGAACGCCAAAACCCATCACCTGCCTGTCTCCTGAGAGGAAGTTTCCACACCTCGTTCCTGCTGACTGCAGCTTCTGACGAGCCACTTCTGAGCTCAGAAATCTGACTCTGAGCTCCATTTTCTACAAGCGAAGCACGGCAGGGATTATCCTGATGAAGCTGTAAATCTGTCGGCAAAGATCAGCAGAACTCTGATACCGACACCAGCAAATTGGCACAACAAACTGAGACTGTCCGTGATGCCAAACAGAGAAAACCTGCAGATTTTTGTTGCAGCTCCACTGAGTTCTGTTTGAAACCTGCTAAATGTTTTGAACATGTTCTAAATTGAAGCACCGGGACTGAGAGCCTCTGGGACTCAACGAGGACTCTGAGATCCTCACCGAGTTTGGAGACATATCAGAGTAGGAATAAGATCCTGTAGGCGCCTCAGGATTAAATTATGATTCAGATTATAAAATGATCCATGCATTTGGATTTTGGTGAAGCTGAAATGACCATGGCTTCTTTTACAGAAACACACATGGATATGTATTTTTTTTCATGCCTCATGAAGAGTGCATGAAAACCTATTATTCATTGTAAATAATTAGCATGGATGCTAACTTAACCATGAAAAGGCCATAGAAGAGCTAACAGGGTTAGCATTGTGTTTAATGCTGCAAATTTATCCACAAATGAAACATCTTATAAAGTCTCTGATGAAGAGTCGTGTTCTGATGTTTCACGTTACTGTCAGATTGAATAATATATGCTGGTGAAGATTCTCAGTCATCCAGGACATGATGTCAATACAAAACAAAACAAAACAAAAAAAAACAACTGGACTTTATTTGTAACAGAAGACGTTTCGCTCCTAAAGCTCCTCGGATGAGGAGCGAAACGTCTTCTGTTACAAATAAAGTCCAGGTTTTTTTTTTGTATTGAATAATATAGATTGAGTATGTCATCAGTATGTTGCCGTTTGTGTGCTGAGGTCTTTTTTTTGCAACTCTAACACGGTGTCCCGTGTAGGACACAGTGCAAGATATGATTTTTTTTTTTATACCTCCCCTCGTGTTTCTCTTTTTCTTATCTAAACGAAAAGGACAGCGCCTCCCAAAGGCCGCGGCCTCAGACACCTCCGTCTCCCCATGTCCGTTTGTTTATGATTTCTTGGACGGGCTGTACTAAAATGCAATTTTGTTGTGCTTCGGTGCAATGACAATAAAGCTGATTCTGATGGTTTTGCTACAGAAAACTACGGTAACTCTGCTGGGACAAACAGAACCAACTCTGCTGACTCCTAAAGAGGCACTGCAGATTAACTGAATCAGATTTTATGTTTGAAATAAATAAAATGGATGTAGAAACGAAAATGTCCTTTAATAAACTCTACATTTAGTTCCTGATTATTGCACGTGGTTAAAAAGCGTTTAGCTTCACTGATGGCCTTTATCAGATCCAGAGGAATTCGTTTCCTGCTGACAGTAAAAGTAAACAGTGTGACTGGACGTCCCGCTCAACAAACATCGGTGTGATTTGGACAAACAGACGAGATCCATGCAGCTAATCTCTTACAGTGATAAGAACGTGTCTGAAGGTCGGCACGGCGCTACACCTCACCTTACTTCCTCTTCTTTCAGCCGACGTGCAGCTTGTTTCGACTGTTTAATCTGTAAGTCCAGTCTGTGAAGGAAGTCTTTGGCTGAAAGCTCCTCAGGCTGAGGCTGTGGGGGGTTGCAGTCCTCGGGGGGAGTGGAAAAAGGCTGCGAGGGTCCCTCCATGTCATTCATCATGATATGGGGCGTATCCGTGGACTCCTGGCACGCTGCGTCCCCATCCCCGTCGGGAGACTCCAGAGACAGTCCGTTAAAAACGAAGCGTTTTTGCGACACCACGGGGATGTTCAGGCTGTTCTTCAGGAAGATGCAGTCGTTGCTGAAAAGTTTGTTGGCTCGTTTGATCTGCTCCATCTGCAATAAACAAGAAGATTATCGTTTTATCTTCGGTTAACGTCAAAACTGTTTGTATCAGAGCTGAGAATCCAGATGAACCCCAAATAACAATCCTCCTCTGATTCCACTGAAAGTCATTAAATTCAACTTTAAAAGGCAGGTTACATTTTAGACTATTTAGAGGACGACACTTTTACATTTTGACTTTGTAAATAAATTTGTTTCGTCATGTTGACTGGAAGACAAAGAGGAGATATATGGATGCAGTTAGAGAGGACATGGAGGTAGATGGAGTGAGGACAGAGGATGCAGAGGACAGAGTGAGATGGAGGACGAGGACTCGATGTGGAGACCCCTGAAGCAGGAAAAGCTGAAAGAAGACGTTGATTGAAGTCAGGCTGAAACAGGAAAAAGCAGCAAATCCAAAGCAGAAGACTGAAGAAGAAACATCAAAGTTCGTGCTCAATAATCCAGGTACAAAATCCAATAATGGTCAGTCAGGTCTGAAGAAGAAACCATTTGGTTCACTTCCTGGCTCCATGAGGTCGGAGTTGTTCCAGTAATCAAATGACACATCCAGCCCACACACCAGGACCAGGAGGGTTAAAGAGATCCCCTCTGAAACGCACATCACTTACAGGATTATTAACCCATACACTGTCAGAGTGGGGTTCTGAAAACTCAAAAGAAATTCAAGAACTAAAACCCTGCAGCTGTCACCGTGTGAAAAAACGTGTGTTTCAACTTCCTGTGCAGAGCTGAACGACTATGTTAACATCTGTAACCAGACTGACGACTTTCGTTTGATTTTTCTGGGTTCAGTTGAGATCGTTGATGGTTCTCTAACTGTGTTCCACTGGTGGAAATATTACATACTGTTTATAAGTTAAACAAGCAATATGCCGATGTGCCCCGTCTCCGAGGTTTTTTGAAGAGTGAATGTTTGTAGTTTTGGAGATGTGATTTTTTTTTCTGGACTGAAACTGAACAGAAAATGAAGGAAACCTAAATGTTTTTGGTGCAACATATTCAGGTGGGCAGGAGCTACACTGTGGAGGAGAACACAGGGAGGTTTCATTTTGTTTTTCTTATCCGAGGCAGCAGAGAATGACGGATCTTGGAGAGAGGAGGGAGATATTTTATCACCAACAGGAGCAGTGGAGGAGCCAGGGGGTGGCCGATAGTGGCCTTGGCCCCCATAGATTAATCCACCCCAATCATATGAGGAAGCTATACTTTTAAGCACTAGAGAGTAAAATTTACTCAAATGACATGCACACACACACACGGTGTTGGCCATCTTGGATTTTGACGTGGCAAATGTTTCGATAACGACATTCCTTACATCTAGATGCAGCCTCACACCAAAATAGAAATTGGTAGATCTGTTACTTTTCACGTTACCATGCTCACAACGTGCACAGACAGAAGGACGATGCTTCAGATTCTCCCTCTTCGCTCCGGACGAGGAACAAAACTCAAACTGTGACGTTAAGCTGAGGAACAAAACCCTGTGACGGTTTGAGGACACATTTGCTCCATATGGAGATAACTCAGAATATTTTCAGAAGCTCTGTGGAAGTTTGAGCTGATGATGGGTTAACTGACGCACGACACGTTCAACTGACGTCAGCAAACTTCCTGTCTTGACATGTTGGAGGACAAACAAACGACTTGTCACTCTTGAGACGCTTGTTCTGATGTTGCAAAATACTAAGTTTCTGTGCTGCAGTGAGCAGGGACAGACATGAGAGGAGCGTTTACCGGCTATTACTGTTGACCAGGGTGAGGAAACTGTGCTCTGATTGGTTCACATCAGGTCTGTCTCTTACTGCAGCTTACGAGGCAAAACGTCATGGATAGCATGACGCTAAGCCTGGTAGTTTTAATGAACGTAAGGTTGGCGCCCTAAATCTGTTTTCTATTGTCCAGTCTCGACTCGCATGACTCTGTCAACATCGTCTCTGTAATTTTCAAAGTTTGTGGGTCATCACAGCGCCGCCACCAAAAACTTACCACTAAGTAAACAAAGTAAAATAAAAGTCACAAAACATTCACCGTCCTCTGCCTCGGTTACCAAAAATGTAGAGGCCGAGTTGAGGCCACCTTCCCCCGCTGGTCTGAGCCTGAAGTCTTTGTCCGTCTGAATCCTGTTGTCAGGCAACAAAAACAGAAACATATGCCTTTAAATATCCTGATCCATGCGCAATAATCCAGGTAGAAAAATCTAACAAAGTTAAGTCAGGTCCTTTGGACGGTTTCTTTTTGTTGAAATGTTTCATCTTTCATCCAAAAGACTTGTTCAGTTCGAGGAGCCACAACAAACTCAGTCTTATAAATAGCTCCTTCACATGGTGGGTCAACCAGTTTGATGGTGCGCAGACGGTTTCTGTAGTCCGCCCTCTCCCCTGCCGACTCCTCTGAGGCAATCAAAGTGGTTTAAAATATCCTGATTGTGTTTTTTTTTGTGCGGAAACGTTTCGCCTTCAATCCGGAAGGTGAAACGTTTCAGCACAAAAAAAAAAAATAAACTGTCCAGATGACCTGACTGAAAAATGTTGGATTGCATACCTGGATTATTGAGCATGGACTTTGTTATCCTGATTCATCCTGATTCCAACTCTGGATGGTTTCAAACCGTCCAGAAGACCTGACTTAACTTTGGTAATTTTTTTATAGTCTTCTAGTCTACACTCTTTTCAGAGTCTTCCCACTGGATGGTCCCACTCTCTTTCGGACTGGTTCTTAGGACCTCCTCGGTCGAGCTTCCAAGCAAGCAGAGTCGAAGGTCAGATGTCGGCAGACTCTAGACCACCGCTGGGCCAGAGAGCAACATCAGTCATGAGGGTCCCCTTCACAAAAATCTAACCACCATTTTTTTAAACCTCACAACTGAAGCATTTGTTTCTATTATTTACTTTGTTTTTAAAAATACATTACTCGTACATATCCAATAAAATTGCAACCCATAAACAAACACTGGTACTATGGTACTATGAGGAGGTGCATACGTTTCCGTGCTTATTGGGTGACAACAAAACTCAGACGAAGCTAGACCAAACTGACTCGATTTACCGGCTCGGACCAGCGGAGGGAATGTGGTCTCGACTCGGACACAGCATTTTTGAAAACTGTGGCAGAGGACGGTGAGCGTTTGCGACTTTATTTGCTCACTGCCGTGTTGTGTTTGCCTCAGACAGACGTTTCAAGCGGCCGCGCTAAGACGATACGCCCACAAGTTGTATCAACAACCAGAAACCATGTAGACCAGAGGAGTCGTGGTGAAAGTGAAAAATGGAAAAATAGCCTACATTCCATACATTCATACGTTAATTAAAATTGGGTTTCTTTTTTAAAAATAGATCTAGCTTAACTATGAATGCTAGGAAATGCTTTGTAGCTGCTACTTTCCTTCCGGCCATTAATTATGGTGACATTATTTATACGAATGTTAAATCAAGCACCTTGCAGATGTTGGATGCTGTCTATCACGGTGCACTAAGATTCATAACTGGTTGTAACTGCTGTACCCATCACTGCACCCTGTATTCACTGGTTAACTGGTCATCATTAACTTCACACAGACTCTTTCACTGGTACATTTTCATCTTTAAATCACTTCTCGGTCTGCTGCCTTCACACATCTCCTACATGTCACTTCGTCAGTGCAGCTACAGCGTGCGCTCTCAGGACATTATTACCTGCAGCATCCCCTCAGTGCAGACTGAACTCAGCAAAGAGCTCTTCTCTTACTCTGCTCCTGTAACACCTTGCAAAAAGATCTGAAGCTGTCGACTTTGATATCTCTAAGGGAATTTAAACAATTTGTAAAGATAAAAGATGGATGGATGTTAAATTCAATGTAAATGCAGACATGTTCCTGTTTTTAGTATTTTACCCGGTTTCATAATGTGGCTTGATTTTAATTTGTTTTATATCACTACTTTTATTGTATATACACTTTTTTATGGCTGTTTATTGTTGTGTGTACCTTATCAGTGGTTCGTCTGAAACAGGTCTCTCTTGTAAATCAGTTCCCGTGGCTCAATGAGACTAACCAGTATAAAGACATGTGGAATGAATGTTGTTTGTCTTGCTGTGCTTCTGGTGGGCTTATTGGAGCTGATGGCAACAAAAGGTGCAAGGTTTAAAACAGAGAGCTAGTTTAGAGTTGTAGAGGAGCAGAAATGTCTGCAGCGTTGCTGCTGATCCTCATCAGTTTGTCAAACCCTGTGAAAGTGCCGTGACGGACTCTGAGGGTAAAACACGAAAAGTTTGAGGAAAACTTTAGGAAGGATTAAAGTCAGTGAGGGACCAAGCAGAAACAGAACTGAAAGCCTGATGTGTCAGAGAGAAGTGGTACCAGGTGCTGGTTTCTTGTCAGAACCTGTCCTCACCGTGACTCCGTACTTCAGGGCGATCCCCTGCAGGGTGTCTCCGTCTGAAACACGATGCTCGACGAACTTCTCCCCCAGAGACACCGACACGCTGGCGGTGCTGCCGTACGACCGAATTTTAGTCCGGGCCAGGCTCTGAGAAAGTTCGCTTTCGGACTCGGAACCGGACCTGGACCGAGGGAAGATGGGCTGGGCGAACAGCCCTCCGCCTCCGTGATCCCGGATCGGCAGGACAGGGGAGAACTCCGCCATCTTTGGCTGAAATAAGAAAAAAAAATCGCGGGTTTTCTGTGTTTTCTCACTCCGGTTGGTTCTCTTCGATAAAAACAGATGAAGGTTCAGCTTCAGGCGGCAGGGAGAGCGCTCTCCCGGGTTACATCTGACTCATCAGCCCGGGAGACAGCGGACATGTTTGAGGACCACAACCTCGCAACCCGTTACTGCCGTAAATCCGCCGCGCTGTCGTAAAAACCTGTTTGTGCGGCTGGAAGCGACGGTTTCCGGTGTTGTGTTTCCACCTTTCAGGTTCGGGTCATCCTTCTGAAATGTGCACATTTAGGCATAAAAGAATAAAAAATCATGAAGTAATGAGTCAGCTGTGGGATCCTGTTCACTACTGGACACAGAGGAGAGGATCTGTGGGAATTTTCAGCCATCAGGACGGTTTCCCTGCTAAAAAAAAAAGTTTCCTTTATCCAACCTTTATTTATACAGAGCCTTGGTGACTCATTTACAAGAGACACCTGATTTTAACAAAGAGTGATGACAACAGTAGACAACAAAGACAACAGTAGACATTCATAAAAAAACATACAAATTGAGAAGAACAAATAAAAGAAAATGGTATTAAAAAACGAAACAAAAACAGCTAGGTTGTAAACCTTTAGCAGAACCAGGTTCAGGACAAGCGGTCAGAGAAGGGGGTCTCTGCAGACCAAAAGTGGGCGTTTCTGGCGAATAGGCGTTTATGGGCGGCGAACACTGATTGGCTAACAGTATTTAATAGGCGTTTGTCGGCGGCGAACACTGATTGGCTGTGGGTAACCCTCAAAGTCACGAGTCATTGATGAGGTAACGTTTCTTTGCGATATTTGACAAAGAAATATGGTTTATTGTACTTATAAAGTATGTTATGTTTTCACTTATGCATTTTATTGAAGTACGTTTATTGTAGGTCACGATAGTTTCGACCGTTCTCTCGTTGTTGTCGTAACGCACTGAGGTAAAGTGAGCCTCCACTCGGCTCCTTTTCAAAATAAAAGCTGAAAATAAAAGTTCTTAATACTTGAAAAATAAATATTTAAAAGCTGTGTATAACTGAAAAATATGAAAAAAATAAATAAATAAAAGTTGTTATTAGCTGAAAAATAAATAAATAAAAGCTGTTAATTATATCTATGTCTTTCTGCCATGTCAGGGACCTCTCTCACTTCAGACTGACTCTAGAAGACCCCAAGATGTTGCCCAACAATGTTGACCAACATCTGATGTTGACTTTCATTACTCAATAATGAGTAATAACTTATTCAATAAAAAGTCTGTAATTTGTCAATAATAGTCAATAATTCATTCAAGAATAGATTATGGGTGTTTGGTATGGCTCAGTGGCTAAAATGGGTTGGATGTTAGAGAAATTACTTAATTTTCAATTACCTGAATGCACAAATTCCTTCATTTATAGTTAAACTTTAGGAAATCAACTTTTTTTCCTTGTGAAAAAAATATCAAAATTAACTTTAAAATCCAATCCAGGATTAAGTAACAACTAGCAACACCCTAACTGTACTATGTTCTGTGTTTCCAACAGATGCTATGATGACTTCTAAAAATGGATGTCCCAATAAACACAATAAAAAAAATCAATGATGCATCAAATGTTGTCTGAGTATGTTTTAAGGTAATAACAAATGTGAAATCTGGAAAACAAAGAGAATTCCTGAATCTGTCTTGTGTGCTTTGATGTGTACATAAGTTTATTGGAGGTCCTGAAACAACTTTTCTGAGAACTCAAAGATTTTTATTTTACCTTTGGCCAAGATGTCAGTTTGAAATCAGGCTGCTTACTGCAAAACCAAGAGTTTTTTTTTAAGACGGTCTTCATTTGTATTGTTTTGTCGACTAAGCTAAATGTAATTTCTAAAATATGGATAAATCTGATCTCATCATGCAGCATGAGCAACTGGGTACAGGTGTGAGGACCAAAAGTCTGGTTATGTACCGACTCCTAAATGTGCTGGTTTTCTACTGAAACATGGAGTTGACCTTTAAAATGTGAGACAGCTGAGGAAGTTAACCAGTAAACAGAATACCTGCTCCAGGTGCAGAAATCTTACAGAAACTGACAAATCACTCATCTGCAGTGACTGCAGGTTGAACAAGACAATGTGAAGTTAAAGGAAACATCCTTTGTCCCAAGGCCAGTTTAAGTATCATTAATATTTTTCTTTCTTTATGAATCGATTGTAACTTTGTTCACATTTTTCAACAACCAAAATGGAATTTGTTTTTTTAATGTTATGGCTAGGTATTAAAAAAAACCCTAACATTTAGCTCTCCCCACTACCCAGTTATGTTGCTCTTATTTTGAAATGTAACCGGAAGTTCTGTGTGAAGAGAGTGGAAAAAAGAAGTTATGGAGACGCCGCGGCAGTATACTGGAGCAATGTCGAACCGAGACGCCGCTAATGTCGAACCGGTTAACACCATAGACATAATGTGCCTGTGGTTAACACAATCTGCCAATAACGCCTTGTTTTTAGACATCATGTGTCTGTGGTTACGGCATTTTATCGTTCAGCCTTTTTTTTTCTATCGTTCAGCCTTTTTTTTTCTATCGTCCAATCAGATGTGGCCGTCCTGACACGCCCATTTTTCTATCGTCCAATCAGATGTGGCCGTCCAGACACGCCCATTTTCCTATCGTCCAATCAGATCCGGCCAGCTAGAAACGCCCATTTTCCTATCGTCCAATCAGATATGACCGCCCAGATACGCCCACTTTCCTATAGTCCAATCAGATATGAGCGCCCAGATACGCCTTCCGAATTTGCCTGCAGAGACCCCTTCTTGAGCGGTCATCTGCTTCGACCGGCTGGTTTAGTAGGAACAGATACACAAAGGCAGGTCAAAAATCACATGTTAAGATAGAAATAGTATCAAATGAATTCAGTTTGAACAATTCATTTAAGAAAATGAGGTCAATTTGTCCTCTAGTAGTTTAAACTTAAGGCAGAATAACAAGCCAGCCCTAACTGATTTATCAAAAAGGAAAGACTTAAGCCCAGTCTTAAACTGGACAATGTGTCAGCCTCACAGACAGAAACTGGAAGTTGGTTCCACAAGTAAGGAGCCTAAAGATCTTCCTCCCATTCTGCTCTTAGAAATTTTAGAAACCGCGAGTAAGCCTGCAGTCTGAGAGCAAAGTGTTCTGTTAGAAAATATGGAACAATAAGAACTCAAATATAAGATGGAGCTAGGTTCTTGGGGGCTTTGTAGGTTAGAAGTAAGATTTTGAATTATTTTCTGAATTTGACAGGGAGCCAATGGAGAGAAGCTAAAACTAGAGAGATATGATCCCTCCTACTAACTCCAGTTGAGACTCTGGCAACAGCATTTTGGATCAACTGAAGACGTTTTAAAAGAAGTTTTTGAACACCCAGATAACAAACCATTGCAATAGTCCAGTCTTTGATCCAGATCAAAGAAACAATCATACATCTATGGAGACAACAATCCTAAAGTGACAGGGTGACAGTTTGCAGGGGCACACATCTTAATGTAACACCCTGGACAAGCATTTTGTGGCAGAAAAGGGCTTTCACAGACTTGTAAACAAATGAGTTTTGAAATGTTCCTGGTAGCGATGTGTTAAAAAAAAAGTAT